AAGGATCCTGTTCATATGGACCTGTCTTCAGACAGAACACTAAATAAATAAATAATGTTTAGGAATATTTATATTGTAGTGTCTGAGCTATGAGTTGGCTTGGCGGTTCTTGAGTTTGTACCAAATAATGGTCAACGGGTAGAACAATGGTGTAATGTTGTAATACAGGGTTATTCATAATTCCCTGACACATTACAAAACATCGCTAGACTTGAATGGTGCAATAGATAAATACGATAAATATAAACAAATGTTCTGAACAAGGCCAAATGTGAATTTTACATGGAGATCACATTTGTCGCACAGAAGAAATTATTCTAAATACCATTATACTATCCATGCTAAGATCAGCTTGTACAACTGTCGAAGAACTCAAAGCAGTGTTTCAGTGTAAAATAAAAAAAAATAACAGACCAAAGATCTTCATTCAAATTAATAGCAGCAGAAATCTATCAGTTGTATGGTTTCATGCGTACGTCAGAGTTAACCCATGAGGGTTATGTTTGTATTGTCAAATATTTTGATGATGACCACCGACAGGGATGTCCAGTGTAGTCAGTACATTATATGATTGGTAGTTCGTTTGGAGACTCGTATCACTTCAATAAAATAACCTGCTACGCTTTTATAAAGTGCATAACGATGCATTTCAGTGGATATTCCTGGAAAATATATCTTTGGTGTCGCTGATTACTGTAGTAGACACGCCGATGTGTTTATTGCAAGGTCTATGACTGCAGGTGATTCACGAAAGTGGTTCACCTGAACACTTTTAACACAACGCACATGCATATCAGAATCACGGGACTTTTTACTTTCTTTCGAAGTATTTCACCTCAACGCTTATACGCTTACACTTTTTGCCGTCGATGTGGCAAGGCAGTGACGCCGTCAGAATGGAAATAAATAGGTTGACTGCGCAGCCAATTCAAAACACCGTGCTTTAGTTCGCCGTAAATCTTGAAAACAGGTGATAATCATTAAGTGCTAAATTCGAGAGATGATATACTCAAATATATTATTTTATTTTCTATTTCTAATTTATTAATATTCATTTGGTCTTTATATTATTTACTTTACAGGATGATACAAAAACAACAACAAAACGTTCACCCACACAAAATCATGTTAAGCACGACGTACATATACAAAACAACTTCGAATACGATATTAAAAATACAATAAAATCTGGAAGAAAACATCATTTGAAATCTGATAAACATCTGACTAAAAGTTGCATTTAAGAAATTATATTTAAGTTTATATAATTTTATACACCTGAAGATGGTTCTTTTAGAACTGAAACATGTCGTGAAAAAATTGATGATCTAATGTAAATCGAACATTTCGATAGAGAACATCATTTAATATATTTTAAATATTTAAATGTTAATTATGGTAATATTTTAATATTAATAGGAATTTTATTGTGATTAGATTGACAAGATTTAAACAAATAAACAAATATGCTAAATTCGACTGTAAGAGGGGTAGTTCAAGATTCCCAGCCCAAGGTTACCAAAGTCTTCGATGTCAAATTCGCCGTATCTGGATTGCCTTGTCGTGCAGCAAGATGATTCTCAATTGACAACTTCACTTATCTCTCCTTGCAAATTGCTCCATACACCTCACTGAGAATCAAGTCAGTGTATTTCTTTTGTTTGGGCGTTCAGTCACACAAGCTCCTCGGTGCAGTCAGCATTATACTATCGCACAAGTGACTCGCTCCT